CTAATTTTTTGTGTTTTTAGTAGAGATGGGGTTTCACCGTGTTAGCCAGGATGGTCTCAATCTCCTGACCTCGTGATCCGCCTGCCTTGGCCTCCCGAAGTGCTGGGATTACAGGCGTGAACCACCGCACCTGGCTGATTTTTTTTTGGTAGACACTGGGTCTCGCTATTATTGCTCAGGCTTGTCGTAAAACTCCCAGCTTCAAGTGATCCTCCTGCCTCAGCCTCCCAAAGTGCTGAGATTATAGGTGTGAGCCACCACACCTGGCCCTGGTATAAATATTAATAGCATCACTTTTTACTCTCAAGTCTCTCCGAGTTTGAATAATAAATTAGTCCTTCCAGGAGTAAGTTATAAGAGTTTGGTTTTAAGGAAGGACAATGCACTTAAATGCAAAACAACATCACAGGCAAGTTGGAGAGCTCACCCCTCTTATGTTTCCGACATGAATCAAAAAGCCTGTTTCGGGGGAACATTAAAGGCGCTCAGTCAATGCTAAGGCTCAGCAGTTCACGTGACTATTGCTCCTCATTGGGGAGGAGTCCTAAGCAAGAGGACTGGGGCTTCCTCACCCCAGGCCAGGTGGGAGCCCCATCAAAGGTGGCACCTGACATCACAGTCTAAGTGTCTGTGGATGGAGAGACAGGCTGCTAGTTTATTTTAAAATAAATCAGAATGTCTACTTATAATATTAAGTGACAACAGACTTACCTCCTTTTTACTGAGCAGAAAGGGTGAAAAACCAGCCAGGCATGGTGGCTCACACCTGTGATCCCAGCACTTCGGGAGGCGGGTGGGTTACCTGAGGTCAGGAGTTCAAGACCAGCCTGACCAACATGGTGAAACCCTGTCTCTACTAAAAATACAAAAATTAGCTGGGCATGGTGGTGGACACCTATAATCCTGGCTGCTTGGGAGGCTGAGGCAGCAGAATCACTGGAACTCAGGAGGCGAGGGTTGCAGTGAGCAGAGATTGCACCATTGCACTCCAGCCTGGGCAACAAAAACAAAACTCCATCCCCTCCCCCCCCAAAAAAAGACAAAAAAAAAAAGACAGGGTGAAAAACCAATTTGCCTTTATCATCGTTTTTTCATCATTTAATCTCTGGACTTGTCCACTGGCTTTTTCTCAAGCAGGCAGGCTGGTCCACAGGTCTTAGCAAGTGCCCCCAACATGCCTGGGCTGAGGTGGACAGTCCCATTTATAGACAAAGCAAGGGAAAAAGCAAGCCCAGGAGAGGTGGTATTTTGAAAAGCTGGCTCTGAGAATGATTTTAAGGGGCCAAAGCGGGCTGGTGCGAGTGCAGTGGTGTTTATAACTAATAGATCACAACCAGTGGCAGGCAGATTTCTTTGTTCCTTCTCTACTCCCACTGCTTCACTTGACTAGCCACCCCCCCTCCCCATGCCAAAAAAAAAGACCAAAGCAATAATAACCTGATGGCAGTAGCTACGTTAAAGAAAGAGTATGACTCATTGAGAATGGTGGTTCTTGCAAAACACCTCAAATTTTACTCATGGTACAAAAGTATTTAATAAGTGACATATCAGTACAGAAAAACAGAACTTATGTAAAGCTTATAGCTTGTCCTTTAAAACCAGAATGGCCAAGTGAAAAGTCAGTACAGATTCTTTTTACTATTAAAAAAATCAAAGGGACACACTGGGAATTGAACTACTATGCTTTTTCTTCATTCTAGAGATGACATATATGTTTTCTGGTAAGTAATCTACCACACATTGCACTAAACCAAAGCATACAAACAGCCAGTAAAGCTGTGCCCTACCTGCTACTCATGCTGGGCTGGACAGTGGAACATCATCTTAGTAAGAGATATTTTGACAGGAAGAAACTGCAGAGTCCCTACCTAACCCAGAGAACCTTACAAACTGGTTTACACAGAAAGGATTTTCAGCAAACATGCAAACATACTAACATGCTATAAGAATGTTTTAGCCTATTTCTAGCACACAGCATACATTCATAGGTGCCCAGTAAAATAAAACGAATACCAATGTAGAAAGCGTTTTTGCCTTCACAGTACTAACACCTAAAAAGCACACAGCATATAATACTTTGATCTTTAAGTGGATAATCATGGAAGTTCCAAGATCACATCCACTAGGTTAGCCTGAGTATTCATCTATAAAAATATTTTTTTTTTCCAAAAATAATGCTAAAAAGAGACATCTAGAAACAGTGGGACTACATCAGGACCAGAAGACAGTGACACAAGCACTGCAAACGTTAAGACTAGGAGTAGCTTTTCACACGGAGCTTTTATGTAGAGGATATCTCTTTCTGTTGATTCCTATAGCCAAGACAAGATGTGATCACAGGAGATTCCGAAATCTCAAGCTGGGCTTGAGTAACACCCTAAACATCAGGAACCCCACTGCGGCTGAAGTACTGAAACTGTGGCCCATGTGAAAAAGAGGTGCAAGTGCACAAAGATTCATGCAGAGGCTGCTGGAACAGAGGGTGGTGGCGGTGGGTTAGTCCACACTTACACACCAGCAGGTATGCTGGGGAAGGACCCCCCAGGGGGAGTGCTTGACATGGGCTCGCTCCAGAGGCGTCTGACCCAGAAGCTCCTGAGAGAGGTGTCTACTTGAGGAGGGGAGGAGTACTATGGTTAATGAATGCAAGAAGGTGTTTCAGGAGCAATAGGTCCAGGAGGGTTAGGTGTTTTTGGTTTTGACCTATCAATACTTAACATAAATGAGTAACATAACAGAGTCAGTCTTTCCAAGATGTGTTCTGCCATCATGAGCTGGGCCTATTGGGCTGGTGACATCCAGAATGATCCCATTCATTGGCTGGAGGTAGGACCTAGTGCCGCAGATTGTTCTGGGAAGCTGATACAGAAGATGATTTGCACAACGAAGTCACCACTAAGCCACTGCTTAAGTCCAGTCCTCGGCCTTCTTTTTCCTATATGAGAAAACAACCAAAAGGAAGGGCCAGAAAGAGCCCTGGCTTGGAATCTTGCCTCTGACATGGCGAAGGCAGAGCTGAAGGTGGGAACGTGGACCTCCAGAGTACATAGGAAGGGAACACAGGTTATTGGTTATTCTGCATTTCTGCTCAATACTGACCTGCCCTAGTCTTAATTTTTTATTATTATTATTATTTTTAAAGAGGTAGGGTCTTGCTCTGTCACCCAGGCTGGAGTATAGTGGCTTGATCATAGCTAACTGCTGCCTGGAATTCCTGGGCTCAAATGGTCCTCCTGTCTCAGTCTCCTGAGTAGCTAGGACTACAGGTGTGCACCACTACAGCTGGCTAACTTTTTTATTTTTATTTTTGTAGAGGTAGGGTCTTGGTATGTCACTTAGGCTGGTCTTGAACTCCTGGGCTTGAGTGATTCTCTTGCCTTGGCCTCCCAAAGTGCTGGAACTGTAAGTATGAGCCACTGTGTCCAGCCTGACCCTGGTCATT